CCGGCAGCTGCGGAGCTGCTCCCTCGCTGCTGCCTGCAGTGGGACAGGGCTGGTCTGAGCCCCTTGCTCCCCCCTTCCCCCTTCCAAGGGCACCCACTGACACTCACATGGCTTATCTTGCCCAGAGCAGTAGGCTCCTCTTCCTCATCCTTCCCACCTTGCTAAGTTGGAGCCATCACGGAGCGCAAGAGGCTGCTGCCTCTTGCGGGGTCTCCGGACCATCACCCCGCCATGTCACCTGTGCCGCCTGACTTGTGTTTTCTGGGCTCTCTCCCTCCCGACTTTTCCAGCCTTCTCCCAGATCTGCCTTCTGGATGTCATCATCACGATGATGCATGACCTGATGGCTGGATTTGCTCTGGCTGTGGAGTGGTGGCTCTTCAGCGCTGGAGAGTGGCATTTTTCTTGCATGATGCTGGTGGATTATTAACTGCCGCTCCACTTGTGTCAGGTCTTTGTTTCCCTGCTTTTTGGTGAATCACCTCTTTTAACACATGTAGAAATAAAACCCTGTGCATAATGCATTATTATGCATCATCCCTGTGGGCATGGTTGGTAGAGAAAGAGCGCAGCTGACGTCTGCACTCACTGAGAGCTCCGCACGGCACTCTGGAAAACCCCTCAGTACAGTCACTACGTGGAGGAGGTGTATTGGGGTTTTTCTCGGAGCATCTTCTCTTGCAGCAAATGAATGGGCAGATGGAGAACGCAGGGTCTGTGTCTTGTCTGAGCTGGTGCAAGGAGAGGATGTTTCTCTGCTGTGGTGTGTGGTGGTGTCAGTGTCCAGGGCCAGATCCTGCCCAGTGCTTCTCCTGCACTCTGGATGCAAAGCCCAAAGCCAGCGGGCAGTGGCTGCCAGCAGTGAGGGTGCCTCACTGGGAGAGGGGGAGAGGGGTGCAGAGGCAGAGCTGGCTCGCTTGGCGATGCCAAGGACACTCCTTTTACCAGTGCTTTGCTTCTCCTGGGAATAATCTGATTCAGTTCAGGCCACGAGGGTTGAGGCAAGAGCCATCGCTCAGCTTTGAGAAGCATCCCAGGATGGGACTGCTCGGCGGGGGAGACCCCTCCACACGAGAGCCAGCCCCAGCCTTGCAGCTCATGGACACTGTGGCTGTCAGAGCTGCCTGGGTTTAGCATTTCCTCAGTTGAAAGTGCTGCATTTAAGCCTGTGATGAACTAAGCTGTCACTTCAGTCCATTATTTCTGATGCACAACTCAATATTCCTTATTGAAAGTGTGCTCTGCCATGTGCCTGACTGGCAACCTGGGCTGGGGAGGGGCCGGGAGGCACACAGGGAGCGGGGCCAGACTCCGCTCCTGCTGGGTCTGGGCTGGGAGCTGCAGTGCTCGTGTGATGTGGGAAGGGTGGCTGCTGCAGCCCACAGCACGCTCCAGGCACAGCCATGGCTCCTGCCAGGAGGGCACGTGGCAGTCTTAATTTTTAAGTGTGGCTGTGAGGAGCCTGTGCGCTGCCCTGGTGCTGCTACAAGTGAGATGCATCTGTTGAGAGCACAGGGCCACAGACAGCAGAGATGCTGAAAAGTGAAGAAAAAGAGAGAAAAAATCCTCCCTCCTTGCCCGTCATTCCCCAGCACTCTGTTGGGTCTGGGTCAGAGGATGCTGATGCCGGCACTCAAACTGTTTCAGCCCAGTCCAAGAGACAGCGGTGCTTCCTCCCAGCATGGTGGGGACTGTTGTGACCTGGAGGTTCCCTTGGTCCTGCAGTGGGTTCCTAGGACTGGGGCAGGCGTTTCCCACAGGAACCCTCCGTGATGTTCCCTGTCCCCAGCGCCGCTGTCAGAGCACCAGGACCGCTCGCTGCCAGCAGCCATTGGATCCCACAGGGCTGCCCCTCGCCCCCAGGCTTCCCAAAGCCTCATGCCCAAGGGGCTGTGCCTACCCAGTCATGGGAGTTACCAACACGAGGGACCAGACCCCCAGGTAACTGGGCATGCTGTGGCCCCCTTGACCCCTGCCGCTGGTTTTTGCACTGCTGCCAGCAGCACATCTGTGTCAGGTGCCAAATGCACCCCAGAAATGCCTGAGTGAAACCCAGCCCAGTTTGTGCAGCTGTGTGGAGCCACCGCTCACTGGTTTTGTCTCAGCAGTGGACATCAGTATTCAGAGTTTTCTATGGCAATCCCAAATTTCAGTGATACATCTTTGTAGGTCTGTAATCCTTTGTGCTAACTAGTGTTTGCCTTAATTGTAGTCACTTTGCTGTGGTGTTTTGGGGTTCCCTCTTCCCAACACACAAGCATCTGAAGCTGCTTCTTGACTGACAACACTTTGTTTCCTAAATGTGCCTGCTTAAACGATGTTAAATCAAAGCAGCAGCTATTGCAGAGATTTTGCTGCAGGCAGAGCTTGATGGTTTCTTTTTGATGGCACAGAAGTGCAATTTCAGAAATACAGGCTTGAAATACAGGCTTGAACTTAACCTTCCCAGTGTCATGCCGTAATTATAGATCCCGGTTCCTGTTGGGGTTGGGCTGGGTGATTTCAGCTGGTCGTTGCAGCCAGTGCTGCAGAACAATCGTCCTCCCCGGCAGAACCGTGCTGCTGTGCGCTCCTGCCTGCCGGCACTGCAGCGGCACGGACAGCCGCAAACCCCAGGAGCTGCATGTCCCCACAACCGCGGTGGGGGTCAGCAGGACGCTGGGCAGAGCCTCAGGGGAGTCCCACGTTCCCCAGAGCCGCCAGCATGCGGGGAGGTGGATTTGTGCTTTCTGCGTGCAGGACCTTGATTTAGGCTTTAAAAATCAGATTTCAAAGTGACCAGTCCATGCACTTCTTCAACGCCATCCAGGGCACATGTGCAACCATGTGGCACCAGTGAAGAGGGATTTTAATAACTGGGGACCGGGTGCGTCGGCACAAAAACGTTCACCTCCTTGCTGTGATTGCTTACCCAGCTGGCTGGTGAGCAGAGCACCGAGAGTGGGGGGGTCGCCGAAATCTGTTACCGTAAGCCGGCAGATGATGAACTCTCTAAGACTCAATTTGGAGTTTTAGAAAGCAGGCATTCTTTATTGCGGCGCCGGGTGCGAGGTGGAATTTCCACAAATCAAGCACACCTATGGCTGGATCACCGTTACATTTCTACACAAGAATTACAAGGTGGTACACTCCCAGTTACAATGGTTGGTTAGTGATTTACATACACTTCTAATATCTGCTGTGTCATTCTCTTCTGTTACTACGCTTGCGCAGGGGAAGGGTCTTCACCTGGGCAAGGGTCTTCTTGACCTGTGGGTGTGTTTTTTAGTATTATAATGAGGGCAGTTCACTTCAGGTTACCTTAAAAGTAAGTTTTGTTGCCAAGTTAGCTAGATATTCATCTACCTTGTCAAGTTGTCAAATAACTCATCCCATATACAATAAAGCCGAAGTGGTCTGGTTGCGCTCTAGAGAATTAAGACTAAGGCTAACATGGTCCAGTGAATAACACAGCAACCCCTACATAATGCTAACATAAAGATTAATCAAAATGTTCTTATAGTCGCTTATTCACTATCAAACACAAAATATAGAAAGATTCAATAAAAAAACTTATGATAATCTTCAACAAGGCTAAAGAAGGATGCCTTTGCCATGTAACTTGTTGTCACTGATAGAAAACTGCACTTGACTTTGGGGACAGTGTGCCTTGTTGAGCAAGGGAAAATGCCTCCTGGTGAGCCCCTGCTCTACACAGCGCCTCTCCTGAGGCTGGCAGAGGGTCCTTTTTGGGCGCTAAGCAAGCACAGCCACTCACCCCGGCATCAGCAGAGCCCGGCTGTGCCACTGTGTTGGCCCGATGGGGCTGCCGAGAGGGGATGTGGAGGACCCGGCTTTCCCTGGGGCCATGCATAGAAAGCGATGTCAGATGCGGGACGCTGGGGCTTGGGTCCTGCTTGGGCCCTCCCTCAGCTGCCAGCCGGATGGGCAGGGGCTGCACCCCCCTCCCACCTCTGCCGTGCAGCTCATGGACTCTGCCACAGCATAGGCTTTTATTTCAAGCAGAGGGTTTTTTTTGTTTCTTTAATTTTGCCCCGAAAAGTCAATGTTATTAACTGGAAGTATTTGTTACTGAGTTGCTTTAATTACCTTCTTTTTCATTTCAGCATTGGCTGGAATTTACCAAGTCGGTTGTGAAGCAGATGAGGGGTGAGTATTGCTGCAAGCAGATGTCCTGGACAGGCGGTGCGTGCTCCTTTCATTTTAGACGTTTTTCCGTTTTCTTCAGTCCTTCCCCTCTGGGGTTAATTCCCAGCACATCTCCCAGAAAAAGGACCTTTCTGATTATCCACAGAGCTGTTCTGCTGGGTCGAAAGTGGGATCGTTCTCCTCAGGTCCCACTGCAGTCACAGCGGGCCATGCCCCCCTGGCACGGGGCACCGACCCTGCCGGAGACCAGGACAGAAATGATGGGGATGAGCAAAGCGAGATTCGCCAGCGCCAGGGCCCGCCTGGAGAGCGGGGAGTGCTGCAGGCCGACGGTGCTGCGGGCGCTTCCTCATGGCTTTACTGGGGACATCTGCTCCCCCCATGGCCACCACAGTGGGGAACGGCCCCGTGCCTGTCTGCTCCCTCCTTACCAAGGGCAGCTGGGTGTGTTTGGGGGTAATGGGGAGGGCAGGCAAGACCCCCAGCAATATCTGACCGTCTCCTTGAGCGGGGTTATTTGGGAGGACGAAGGGGACAAACCCTGTCACTTGGTGACTGTGGTATTGCTCTTCTCCCTGCAGCCCAGCCTCCCTTCACCATGTGCTTCCGTGTGAAGTTCTATCCCACAGACCCCGCTGCTCTGAAGGAGGAGATCACCAGGTAAGACCCCGGCACACAGGGACCGGCCAGCCCCGCACCGCCGGCACCGGGCAGCGAGGGCTTGGCCAAGGCAGGAACACACCCTGCCAAGCCTTGTTTTATGGTCAAGGGAGAACAACAGCCATTTAGATTTCCGAACAAACCTGAACATTTCTGGGTTGTCACAACTGTGGGGAAACAGTGTGGAAATCCCCACCTGTGCTTTGTTAGTGTGTGGAGTGGCCGTGCCTGGCAGGGAGCACTAGCTGTGGGTTTAAACCCGCTGACTTGGTCTTTGGCTGCGGTCGGTTACAAAAACCAGGTTTCCAGGGCAAAGTGCTCTGAGTGCAGCACTGCTCACCGTAACGTCCATCACAGCCTCGGTACCATCCTGCCAATGCAGAACTGTTCCTGGGCTGCACTGGCTGCGTGCCCTTCCCTGCAGCTCCCCAAAATCTCTCCTTCCAGCTGGAAGCCCCCAGTCCCGGTCAGTGCAGGAAGGTGCGTTCAAGCAGGAGCAGCAGTTCACCTGTGAGAGTCTGATTTCTGCTTCTGCTAATACTCTTGCCACTTCTGAATCAGCTGTTAGCGCCACTGCCTGAGCACATCCTTAGCTCAGGGTGTCATTACGTGTGCTTGGTCTGTCGGGAAGGATTTGAGTGTCTCCAGTTCCCTTGACATCCCCTGGAAGTAATTATCCACATCCCTTTTACGTAAGGGGCATGAATGCTCTGGGAGAAATGGGTGATAAACTGCGATGCAGAAACTTGACAGTGCTTCTCTCAAGTTTCTATCTT